GGCTCGCAGCCACTCATGAGTGTGAGAAAGCAAGGACGTGAGGGAGAGGACCCAGGGAGAAGATGGAGGCATGGAATCACACCGACGCTGAGACAGCTACGGAAATGGTGAGGCCACCTCTCATAAAAGGTTACTATGACTGTTCTTTCTATGCAGCCCTGACTTAATAAAAAGCTACCAAAAAATTTAAAAAAAAAGATGTAGAAGTCTTATCATCTTGAATCATAATGAAATGTACTTGCATTGTTTTCAACAATTCATTTTAAAAGCCACATCGGCATCTGGAAACACACAATTACATACACATGCATTTGCTAAAGAGGGGAGGCTGCCTATTACACACGATGAAGAGCAGATTAATGATGTTAAAGCACAAATGAACACTAGCCCTTCTGTACTGAAGGTAAGTGTACAGCGAACTCCCCATTATGATATGATTACCCTTAAGCTCTTCAATGAAAGGTGGATATTTAAGCTGCATTTTAGTGACTGATTTACATACAAAGCAAGCGGCTAGTCAGGAAGTCAAGAAAATTACCTGTTCTCTCAGGTGTTAGTATTGCTTTATTTGAGGTTTTAGAGAAGCTGGGAGTATTAATGCCATTGCTATAAGGGCTGAGTCTTGCCACAGGACTATAAGGAAAAGCCAGGGAGACATTTGAAGGGAAGAGACTCCGCCATCGGCTCGCTGTCACAGAAGCAGAAAATAAACAGCAGCAGTTAGCAACACAGAAGCAGACGGTAACTTGTCAGAGAAAGAGAAGATGTTAAAAAAAAAGTGAAAAGCAACTTTTCATTCTTAACTGACTTCTACTTATCTAAAGGAAAAAATACGTAAATATGAGCCATTTGCGAATAGGGGGGCTATTTAAACCCCAACTAAGAACAATTAAATCAGTGTCACCTTGATTACAGTCAATGTCTATACAACAAGGAAAATTCATCTTTAATTTCTTCACTAGAAACGTTTTTCATCTTTCTATTTCTGCACAAAAATTTAACTGTTTTAAAATAAGATAAAATGTTAGTGTCAAAAGAAAAACTCAAACAAACTTTAGAATTGTGGGAAACAGTTCTTATTACTAATTGTTCATCGTCCTATATTTTTCCCTAAAGTTTATTTTCCATCCTCCCCCCTCTCCACCACCTCCCTCGTTTTTTTTTTTTTTGAGCAGGTATGATCTTTTACTCACCATTTCCTTCCCCACTCACAACGTTAGTAAACACTGATCAAAAAAATTTTTATGGAAACGTGTCCCGGGATTATGGAAGAAACTTAAAATTACTACATTTCTGAATGGGCTTGGGTCCAAAACAAGGTTTGTGGGAAAAATGATCTGCAGAACACAGAAGGGTGTACATAACCAAAGCATAGTGAAAGTTATTTTAGAAGGCAGGCATAAAGGTAACTGATAATCTGCTGGATTTTTTCTTTATTAAAAATATTTTCAGAACTTTCTGCACTGAACATGTATTATTTATGTAACTTTTAAAGGGAGAATTACACATATTATTACTTTAATACGATAAAATAAGGAACAAAAAGGAATTTTATCTGCATGGGGAGATGATCTAATTCTTACATTATCTCATCTGTCCTAATTAATACATCCCCCTCCTCCAAAATTACCAACTCCTTGGATCCTGGGATCATGAAAAGACTAAACTAAAAACCTGAGTAAGCCACATCAAAAATCACTTACTCTCTTCATGGAATATAAATTACTGTGCTAGTCAAAATCCGTTTCTCTAAAAAGCAATCACTCAGACATGTACTAAGCAGGACAGGAGGAAACAGATAAAAATATATATAAATTAGGTTAAATTTCACTTTAAGTGATAAGTTGGTTATTTTGCTGAAAATTTGACAAAACCTGAAGAAACAAGTATAAAAAGGACTGTTTTGAAATGCATCCCCCAGGTCACTTTTAATGAGCAATGCTAATGAGCTAACAGCTGAAGTGTTCAAAAATGGGCAGTAGGGTGGAGAGAAAGTGGGCTGAGGGCCATCCGGAGAATAACAAGCTCCAATCTCGGGACTCGTGAGATCCTTGCAAAGTATCACCACAGTTATTTACGACAGCAAAGTGCTTCCTTTACTTCAGCAAGAATCTTGAGAAATGGTACCATCCCATTCGAACAAGTACAGAAGAGATGCATTTTCCTTATGCAGATGAAATAGTCAAGGAAACTATGTTCACAAAGATTACACTTTCCAAACCCACAAGTTCCACAGAGGGGGACACTGCCAGGCAGCCTGGTCCCTAACGGACACCAGTGATCTGACCACAGACCCAGTTGTGCAGTGCTCTGTGGAGACACAGCGCTTCCGGTTGCTCAGGGCTGCGCCAGAGCAGAGACGTGCGGAGCTGGCACCCCCATCCCTACACTTCCAGACGTGCACACCTGATCCCAAATGCAATGAAAACTGGAGGGGGTTAATACGCAACACACACTAGGGAGCTCTTCTCACATCTTTAATCTCTAGTACTCAGTTTCTCATTAAAAATTCTGTATTACCCCCTAAAAAAGCAAATCAAGTGTTCTTTGTGACTGCTAACTTGCTTAACAGATGATGTTGTTTTATACCAGTCTGATCACTCGCCAAGCTAATGACAGTGACCGCGTGTTCTCATCCACAGATGCAGGCGACAGCACGTCACAGCTGAACAGCATTCATGCCTCTGCACAATAACCACTGTGGGCCAGCCTCGCAGCACAATGGCACAGTGACTGCAGCTATGACAGCCAGATCCCAACTAAGAACACAATTGGCATCTATTGCAAGAAAGAATGCTCTCCGCTGTCCT